ATAAAGCACACATAACTAGCCTGACAGAGGATTAAAAAAAAAAAAGAAAAAAAAGCAAGCATTATATTATTAAATTATAATATTGTTATTTGTATAATTAATAGAAATTTTGAACTTTTTTAAAATAATAAACAAAAATAAAAAAAAATTTTATGTTATTTAATTATAAATTATATTCTGTTGAATAAAAAATTATGAATTACATTTTTAAATAAATATTTAAATAAATGCACTTTAAAAAAATTTTTTTTTATAATTATTTAAGTTATTTTATATAAAATATTCTAAATATAACAAAATTTTAATAAGTAATAAATACTTTAGTATATCTTATCTTTTATTAAAATAAAATAAATAAATTTTATGACAAATATAATCGATTTGTCGATTTATTAAACACGTAAATAAATTAATTGAGTATATTAAAGGATAAAGTATAATTAATACTTAATACAATACAACTGTTGTTTTTTTTAGACGTATATTGGCGCAGCTGTGGCTAATTTTTCACATATAAACGCCCCAGATTTCTACATATAGAAAATAGGAATCATGGTTCGTCAAGGTCGTACCTCCCGGCAGCGAAAACAGAAAGAAAAAAATGCATGCGCTAAAAGTCAGTATTTCCATTTGCAATTTTTATCTTATACGCATCCATAACACGAACATTATTTTCTCACCTCATTTAGTAATTCTGGATAACGATTGGATATCATTCAAAAATTGGTCAAGGGATAATGGATTTCCAAGAACAAAATTGGCATTGGCCGAATTCAAGGGCATGTATTTCATTTCAATCAAATTTGAAATAGCATTATTATTAATTAGAATTTTCCTAACAAGATCTTGAATACGTATTTGTAGATACAGGAAGAGGAATGATGGCCACCAAAAATATTGCGGTAGGATTAATAAAGCTCAACTGATTGTCCAATTAATTGAAGATACTGTATAATTGGTTAAATAGAAAAATTTTCGAATTTTTATTAATAGAAAGAAGAAATTTTAATATCAATACCTCTAAAGTTAATATTCACATATAAAAAGGTGAATGATATATTATCAAGGGACTATAGATTAAAGTGAGTTGATACTGTTAAAACATGTGCAATTCTATTTCATTCTTTACACTATATTCCTAAATATCATGACTTAACGTGATTTATTTTGCGCTATGTACAAGATCATTATCTATCCCAAAGCTCACATCCCACCAACTTCTAGCTCTTTACCTAGCTCTAGAATTACGAAAAAAAGAAGATAGTTCAATTCACACCTATATTGAAATGCTGCCAAAAGACTTTGGAAATATGCCGATTTACTATGATGATGATTTGACGAAACTAGTTCCTGGCAATATGAGAGGTACATAATAACAAAATACTTGGTATTGGCAACGAATATTTAAGCATGACTTGTTTTCGAAAAGCGATTTGAATCTATCGATTACAGAAATGATTGAATCACAAGTATCAAAATTCGAAAAAGATTTCATTAACGTTTGTAATTTTTCTGAGGTGATAATATATCTATTTTTTAATTTTATAATGTATTTTATTATGAAAGTGAAGTGGGCAAATTCATTGTTCATCTTGTTGCTTTTACTTGTTATATAGGCGCATGAAAAACTTTGTCTTCAAATATCCAAAAAAGAATTTTTATGGGGATGGCTTTGTGGTAATTTTGTGGTAATTGCGTTTATTGTCGATATTTGGGTTGCGAATTAACAGAAAACTTATTAACCATGAACAGTCAACACTAGATGTATATATCTGGAAACTTCAATTTATGATGCTCGAGAAAATATTGCCGTAGCACCGATGTTGGATTTTTTGAATCATAGTTCTGAAGCAAAGGTTTCTGAGCACTTTAGTCTTATCCTGATGTTTTATCATATATATTTTATTTAAATATTAATTTTTTGCGTAGATAAAAGGTGAATTCAATCAATCAACTCAATGTTACGAGATTACTACATTCTCTCCTTACCAAAAGGGACAACAGGTATACCAATACTTTACATACGCAACGTTTTTTTCTTACTTTTGCATGTTTGATTCCTTATATTATTATGTTTAAAATCTAGGTATTCATTAATTATGGACCGCACGATAACTATCTAACTTTACTCGACTATGGCTTTACTATTCCTGGAAATCCTTTTGCATACGTATTAATTGATGATGAATTTTTTGAATATAACGTACCGGGCGAAGATGAACAGATTATGAAGTTTAAGTTAAAACTGTTGTTAGATAATGGATTTTATAGGTGATTTCTTCATTATGATCTTTTCTTCATTCTAGTAATCGTTCTAATTTAAATTTTAAATACCCGCTAAAAAGCGATTATACTTTTCATACGTCTCGAATCTCATTCCGCCTTCTGACTGCGTTGCGCCTAAGGCTACTTAATCTTGATGTTGACGATAACGCGAATACTGATCGCGAAAATGAATTGGCCCTTTCTCAACATTCTCAATCCCTTATTTCAAAATGGAAATCTACTCTAACTGGGGAACTGGAAAAAATAGATGACCAAAATGAATTTGAAATCTATAATTGGATATATGATGTTTGCTTTACGAAATTAGATAAATGTGAGAATAAATTGAAAGAACTGGTATGCATTCAGTTGAAAATTACTTATTTTTATTAATTATTTTAGCGTCAATAACTTTCTTTTTTTTTTGAAAAAAAAAAAATGATTAGGAATCATTGGATTTATCAGGAAATATAAAGTGTCTTTGGAAAGATTCTATTGACATATTAAATTCTGTGATTGATTATATTAAAAATTTAAATCTTTAAAACATTACTATAAAAATAGTGTTATGTAAACATAAAAGGAATGAAAATTTTTTGTAAATAAAAATATCAAATTCTTTTTATTCTCCCTCTATATAAATAAGTAATATATGTTTAATTAATTATGATTGAAGTATTTATTAAAATTTATTATTTCAATAGTTTTTAAATTTTTTAAAATGAATTATTTAAATTGATAAATTATTTAATTATAAAATTTAAATAATAAAATTCTAAAAACTCCTTGCCAATCATTTGATTATATATAAAAAAGATGTTTGCAAGAAGTTTTTATACTTCTTTGCTAATAAAGTTTTAATATTTTCCTTAAAACAATTTGAAATATGATTTCAAGAGTTATATATTTCCTTTTTCTATTGTTTATAAACTTCTTCACTCAAAAATTTGACTTCTAACAATTAATCAAAGTCTAGTAACATCTTTGATTTCAATAACAAAAAAGTTTTCAAAAGAAGAAGAACTAATTGTAAAGTATTTGAAGTCTTTTTTAATTTTTGAAACAAGATATTTATAGAGATTTTTTTGTAGTAAAAAGACTTATTTTTTCTTTTTTTTTTGATTGTTTAAACTCTCTTAAAACTTTCATTTTTATGGTTTTCTAGAGAAATCTCATCTATTTCAATTTGATTCTAAATTTTAAGCAGTACAAAACCTTATTAAAAGTAATTGTTTATAAAGTTTTTGAAATATAAACAAATTTCTATTAATTATTTTTAAATATTCTAATAATATTATTATTAAATATAAAGAATATTTCAAAATTATTTACTGTATCTTCAAAAGTTCAAATTTTCTAATAAAAATATAATAATATCAAAAAAATAAAAAAAAAAGATAATGTAAATTATAAACTTCTATCTTTTATCTTAGTTTTTCAAATAGCAACAAGAATTTAATGAATAAAAGTTGAGATTTAAATATTTTTTAAAATATTTTAATCTGATATTTGTTTAAATAAAAATTAGTTATATTGATTATCTAATATTATAAATGATAATAAAAAAGATTTCTTTTGAGGTTCAAATAAAGTAAAAAATTATTTCAATTAGATGGATCTTTAATTATTTTCATTTTCTATTTTATCATTTTTTTTTTTAATCTTAGCAATTTATAATTTTTAAATCAATTAATAATAATAATAATTCTAGTAAATAATAATAAGTCCAATCTAATTAGAAGTATATACTATTATTATTTTTTTTTAATCTACAGATAGGCCAATATGGCTTGTTCATTTTATTATAAATATATTTTGATATTTATATATTCTATGACTTTTACATATTGAATTACTTATCTATAAAGTTTAATCTTCTCTAAATACAATCTAGAGAATAATATTTCACTTCCTTTATAACTTGAAGTATTTTCTAGCTACTCATATAATTGCTTACAATTCATTACAATAGATTTCCTGAAGTTCTAACTATAATTAAAAACTAAACTATTTAAAATTTTTGAATACTCAACTACTACTATATTATCTTGAAACTTTATTTGTTCCAAATCTTTTTCTTCTTTTGTTACATTTCTGGAAGAAAAAATGGAAAAGTTATTGGCTTCCTTAGGGACTCAATCTATTCTTCTAGTTTATCTACTGATACTCTAAACCTTTTACGTTTGCTAATAATTTCTTGATTTTATTCCTATTCGATAGTAATACTATAGTACTTGTTTTAGACTTACTTTTTGAAGATTATTCTTATTTTTTACAATATTTATCAATAGCCTCTTATATTATTATTACTAAAATCTTGAGAGTCTTGATATGTTCTTCCAGGGTCTTGATTTTGTCTCTGTATATAAATCTATAGACTGTGTTATATAAGCTAACATTCTGTTGTTTGATATTTTGAATTCATTTCTCTGTTACTTTTTTAAATTCTGTCTGGCTCTCATCAAATAGATCTTTTTTTCCTAATATACTAAAGAATTTTACTTTGAGATTTGTATTATATAAATGATTTATTATTCTAAATCTTAGAATATTCAAAGAGATGTTTTAAGGTTTCCTATTGTAACTTGTATATTAAGCATGTTATATTTGGATATAAGTCTGATTTTCTTTTCTATATCATTTGGAGAGTAGAAAACTTATTATAAATTAGATTTATTGGAAAACTCTTATTTTTATTGATGCTAAAGAAGATATAAAAATTATTATATAGATTAAATTGTTTCCAGAAAATTTATCAATTAATTTTTTTACTAATAAGTATATATTAATTTTGAATACATTTTTGCGCAATCCAGGCTAGTTCTATTTTCTTTGTATTATATTTTTTAAGGAAATCTCTAAATCAGATATAAATAGTATATTTCTTTATGGCTTTATTATAAAAACTTGACCCAAATTAGATATTTGTTACCTAATCAAAAGATTTTCTTTTCTGGCCTGCTTTGTTAACCTATATACTATATTATTGAACTTATTGTTTTGATGGGCATTAATCTTTTCAAGTACAAGGCAAAGGTTTTTCTTTTATATTAGGTCCGTGATTCAGTTTTATAGTGGTCAATTGATTATTTTAGTTCATTTTCTTATATAAATAAACTTTTGTGACTGAATTATCTTTCATATCTTGATAGCTGTATTATAATCTATATATATGGTTACTTTTCTATTTTTAGATATTGTAAAGATTGCAGTAAAAATGGCTAAGATTTTTGCTCTTGTAGTTAATAATCATGATTTCACCTCTGCTGAGAATTGATTGATTATTATGTTATTCTCAATTTAAATCTATGCAAGATTTATTTAAGCGCATTCTTGCTTTTTGTACATTGCTTATAAGATTTATCAATAAAGAAAGTAAATTGCTTTGTGTTTCTTTTATAGTTATATTTAAGACTCTTTATTGGATCTGTTATATGCTCTTCTGATTGTATAGCCTATTTAATCAGTTCGACTTCCCAATTCACTATATACTGTATATCTCAATCTTTTCTAATTCTAATGAGTATATGATACTTGATTCATTTATTGATATTGTGAACTGACATTCTATAGAGTTTCCTAAAATGTGAGTAAATTCCTTTTCCTAATATTTTTTTGTCTATTTAGTTGCAACAGTAACCAGGTCTAAGATATGTATGAAATTATTGGTTATTTGGATATATAGGAATAACAAGTAGTACTATTTGTAATAAAATTGTAAGAACTAATATGATGTGAAAAGTACTCCTCTGTTTTACATTTTGACTTTCTCTATAATAGTTCCTACTGTTTTGATCAAAACTTCTCAATTTATTTTCCACTTATTAGTTTTAAGAACCACTTTTACTATTTAAAATTCATATTTAATCTATTTTAGAATTCAGTAAAACTGTTTTGCAGATCTTATTGTTTTGTAACCTTTGCTCTAATTTGCGTATATCAGCTTGAAATAGAACTTTTCTAAATATCAGCAAGAATTTATACTACTCTTTATTTTCTTATTGTTAGTATAATCATATTAATTAATTGATCCAGAAATATTATTTTGTTTCTTTTTAAAGAAGGTATAACTTTTATATATTTTTTCTCATTATTTATAATTGTCTTGATAGATATGGGAAAAAATTTATCAACAACTCTTTCTTGAAATTCTTAAAATTGAAAAAAAAATTTCTTATTAGGCAAATACACAAAACGAACTCATCCTCTGCTACTAAAGTAGCACCCCAAGCAATATGGCCTTCACAAGGCAGTTGAGAAGCCTGTCAAGACAAACGATACCAGAATACAATATAGATAGGCTAAGCAAAAGCAATAGCAAGATTTTAAAAGTGAAAGCAACAACATCGACATCCCAACTAAGACATACTCCTCTTGGGACTAGGTCAGCTCTTCCCAAAAAACTGATAGCCAAAGAGAAAAAAAAGAAGAGCCCAAGGACACAAGAAGAAGAAATGGAGACAGAAGAAACAGGACAAGCGGTAGATAAAATGGAAAGTATCGGCAACAGCATGACACCATCCTCCACCACAATCAGAGCTTTGGAAGATGGAAGCATCACAAAACTCCAAGCAAAGGATAAGCAACATGACATCACCGATCAGGCAGGTTTCAGCTATGAAGACCAAACAAACACTCAGAAAAGACCACTTATACCTCAAGATATCCAAGATAGACAAACCTTCTCCAAGCCATAAAAAATATTCATCAATCCAGAACAGGTACATGGACAAAACACAGGGGAAAAAATTGAATTTGTTAGACAAAAAATGGGACACATTACCTTCCTGAAGTATGTAAGGATTGAATACCCAATTGGGAGGCCACAAATCACAACCATTTTTGGCAGTCAGAAAGATGCGTACCAAGCATGCACAATAGAACTCACAGACTATAAGAGTATCAAATTTAGAATGACCACTCCACTAGGTTCCCAAGATAGCAATTCCTGTATTATCAGAGTATGGAACATTCCCTAATACTTTACCAAAACAGACCTGGCAGAGTTTTTCGATAAACAAATCAATATTGACTACATCACCTTGCAAAGAGCAGAGCCTTTTCAGACAGCAAACATAACATTTTCCAACATATCCGATTACATAGAAATTAGTTAAGAATGGGCTCTCACAAAAGAACTTCATTCATATAGAGTATTCCCTTACTGCAGAACATATGAAGTCAATGAACAAAGGCAATGTTTTAGTGCAACTCTAACCTTTCTACTCCTAGACACAATGGCAGTAGACCTGGCAGTCACAATCACAAGCACCAAAGCCAAGTCACTATACATTCCAAAAGACAACAACAATTGTGCCAAAAGGTTCACAGTCTTCACCTTCCAATCTAGAGAAGAGATGCAAGAGATAAAGGCAGTAGCCCCGGTGATCCAAGAAATTCAGACACAATAG